TTTGGGTTTAGGGTTTAGGGTTTAGGATTTAGGGTTTAGGGTCTAGGGTTTAGGGTTTAGGATTTTTGGTTTAGGGTTTAGGGTTTAGGGTTTGGGGTTTAGGGTTTAGGGTTTAGGATTTTGGGGTTTCCGGGGTCTTGCAGGAAGTTTTTCGGCCTAACAGGGTGAGAATGGCTTGGTAGAGGGTATTGTACATTGGCTGTTGTTTCTTAGGGCTTTAGTTTGTGGGATTCGGGGTTCATGAGGCTTTCAGGGCGTGGGTTAGTAGAGCATTCGGAGTTTGACCGTTGGGTTTTGCAGGGTAGGGCTTAGTGGATGAGGCTCGGACAGATTTTGATCGGTCTCTAGTGGCTCTCATTCAAGTTGGGCTACTTGCAAGGCGCCTCTACATGAAGGAGGATGGGAAGACATAATTAAGTACCAGACCCTAGAACTGTCTATTATTACCCACTAGATTTATGGTTTGCTTTATTCGTTGACTAGATTATACTTGTACCGAAGCAGCATGTTATTACGGAAGCTGCTTGCAGCAGTCGCACTCGTTAACGCACAGCCGTGCGCATGCATGTACGCATGTAGGCTTGCATCTGCATGCACATGTGTTTGCACATCTCTCACCTGGACCTCCTTCCATGCTTTTGCCTGATATGCGTCTGCGAGGTTGTAACCCTACACATCAGCAAGGTAAGCTGGTGGCTCATGAATACAATCAACCAGAAACTTGCAACAATCACAAGCCGATGTTCGCACAAGAAAACCCAGACACCCCAAATCCCTCAACCCTAAGCCTTGAACCCGTCAACCCCTGCACCCTAAGCCCATGAAATCTAAGGTCTTAGATTGTGAACCCATAAAGCCCTAAGCCTCAAAGTCTGAGACCCCTAATCCCTAAACCCACCGGCTCGAAGAAACAGACTCGTCACCATTCTCGAACCGAAAGCGCAGTTTGGTCCATGCTAGAGGCTTTTGGAGAGTTTCATAGGGGTGTTTGGGGCTTTAGGGGTTTCGGTGAAATTAGGTGTTAGATTCTTTGGGTGTCAATCGTAGCCTCGGGTAAGCGTGTTTAGGGCCTTGTGGGTTTGCTTGTCGGACCTGGGTAATGTAGGAGCCTAAATTATTACCTACATTGTTTTTGGGGCTCCTTATTAGGATTATAGTATAATGGGCCCCAAAACCTTATTAAGGCCCCTACATCAGGCCTGCCGTGGACTTCCATCGGGCGGAACTTGTCCAGGCTCACGGAGGGGTTCAGTTGCAAGGTCCTTCTGGATGGAGCTTTTGGGATTTAGGTTTGGGGGGGTAAGGTTTAGGGTTTAGGGTTCAGGGTAGAGAGCCTAGGGCTGGTGGGTTCTGCTTTCAAGGGCGCACTTTCGTGTTGGAAGATGAGACCTTTGCTCTTAGTGGGATCTCGCTCTCAGGCCGGGATTTTGCATTTGGCTTTCAAGTTGAAGATCAAAATTGCGGAAATGAGCATGTAAGATGAGCGGTGGTGGCAATAATTCTCATGACAGCAAGGAAGCAAGGAGTACTGAAATCATGGAAGAGTAGCAGCATGTAAAGTCAATCACTGCGATCATCACACCTAGCAGCAGCGATCGTCACTTGTGTGAAAGGGATCATAGCAACCACATATTTCCCGGACCTCGAAGCTCTGCATCTCGATATATTTACGGTAGCTTCTGCACCGGTTTGTAGAAGTTGGAGTTACGCCCAAGGTAGATACGTTGAGGGGAGATTGGCATCGCCAGGACTGTGGTAAGTCAATCCTAAACCCCACTTTCACGGACCATGAATGAGAACACACCCCTAAACCCTGTTATCCTATAACCCCTATAAGCCCTGAGCCCTATATACCCTACCTATAGTCTCGATTGTAGTTCCTTTTGTTTGGGTCTTGAAGCCTGCATCCTGAAGAAACACACTTCAGACTTTTCCGGCCAAGTTGACACCATAACTTTCTCTCAGCTGAGAGCGCTGCTGAATCCGTGGTAGGTTTCAAACGATTTCAATGCGTAGCTCTCTGAAACGGAATCCCTCTCAGGGGTCTTTGCTAGAAGGGCGATGCACTTTTTCGTGGAACCAACGTCTCGACAGCTAATACCCATCTCATCTCCCAGTCAAAATGCCCCGAGCCTCACAAACACACACACACACACACCAAATCCTGAACCCGAGTTCCTGTCATAGCTGTGGTATAGTCCTAGATAACCCAAAAGACCCTGTTATAGCTATGGTATAGTCCTATCTACCCCCCTATTTCAATTATCAAAGCCTGCTACACTGTGGGACTTCGGGTTCTACAACAGCTTGTCTAGCCCGGTACCCTAAGCCCTAAACCCTAAAACCCAAACCGCGGTGTAGGAGAAGCCAAGGGTCGTATACCCCAGCTCATCAGGTGAATGCCAGCCGCCATGGCTCTGCCCTGAGGGTGTCCGAGTCTGTTCCCAAAACCGGGTTTAGGGCTTAGGGCTTCGGGTTTAGGGCTTAGGTGTCCGAGTCTGTTCCGAAAACCGGGTTTTAGGGCCCAAGGTTTCGGGTTTAGGGCTTTGGGTATGGTGGTTGCGAGTGTGCCTAGAGGACGATCTCGGAAAGCCTGTAGTCAAGCACTCTATTTCATGTCATTATGGTTCTCAGGTCTTGGTGTTTACGGGTTGAGGTCTGACGAACCCTTTAAACTCTAAGCCCGTATAGATGCTTGTTTAGAACTTACATTCTAGAAACCTTTACCAACCCCTTCAACCCAACCTGATAGGGGCCACGAACCCG